AGTATGTAAAGAGTTTACAATGGAAGAACACACAGACATGCAACAGAATCCACACAATGGGCAAATTGGAAAACCAAGGCAAATTGGGTCACCAAGAAGCACAGGGGCATTTCATCAGAATAACACATCACAATCCCTTCCAACGTGTCCATTGTAGTGCAGTGGTAATCTTTGAGCATTACAGGATTATTGCCAATGCCATTCTAAGACATTTTTGCTTAACATTTAGGCAAGAGGTGCCCAAACTGCAAGGGTAAGGTTTGAAATTAAATGTCAGTGAAACTGCTTTTTAAATACTGTATATACTAATCTTACAGTATTATGGGTTACTACTATTATGGGTTACTACTACAAAATATCAGATACATAAGAACATAAGAAAGATAACAAAGAAGAGGAAATACTTTAATAATAACTTCTTGAGGCAGTTGGTAGTTCATAGTTAATTGAGACAAAATTCTCATCCAGCTGTTTTTTGAAAGAACCAAGGTATCAGCTTCAACAACTTGTTTGGGTAGTTTATTCGATACTCCCACAACCAACAAGAAGCATCAATAGGGAGACACAAATACTTGGACCTTGATTTTTTTATCTTGATTCTAAAATTTCACATGGCACTTGTCCAGTTGTAAAGACGTTGCATTGGTTACATGACTCAGTTGTATCAGAGATACTTTATAAGAGATACTTCATAAGAAGGCTTTAAGTGGAGATGGTAATATATTGAAATTATCTTGATACTTTTGCCTGTTCAAAATATTCCAGTACGTACTTTATTCTTTATTTATCTGTTAATTTTGAGAGTTGATGACACCTGATGGTCTGTAGTTTGCTATTAATATATAAGAATAGCTATGATTCAGAGAAAGTGTGAATCAACAAAACACTTCATTCTACATTTATGTTGTATACTGAGAGATTTCTGTAGTTTTATGTGTTTCCAGTTTCAGATAAATCAGAGAAAAATGTAAAAATGAAAGTCTCCCCGTGACTGTGAAATACTTTGTCTGATATGAAAAGCAATTTGGCAAACTAATTTAAAATGTATGTTGGACTCATCGTCCCCTCAGTTTTGTCCTATGCTACTTACAGGACAAACCGAAAGAACATAAAAAGCACATAAAGCTTTCAAACATACAAACAGTATAACATTACATCACAGTTGTTGCCAGCAGGGTGCTGCAACCAAAAGACAGGAATAATAATCCAATTGCTGAGCTCTGTCTGTCAGCCAGGCGACTGGTAGGCAAATACAAAAGAGAAACAAAGTTTTCCTTATTAAAATGGGGAAGGATGAAACAGGCAGAAGTCAAGCTGAGTGGGACAGATTGTAGCACAAAGGAATATCTAAAGGACAAAACAGGCAACGTTCACAACATGGTGCTCAGTCTGAGACAAAATCCAAAAACAGTCAAAAAGCAGAAAAGCGATAATCAGAAACTGGGAGTGAAAAAGAGTTGTAGTCAAAACAGAGTTCAAAGCCAGGGAATGAAAAAAAAGCACAAGGATATGCCAGGACTTGAGAAAGAGACTCAATGATGGAGAATTGAGTGAGGGAAATGTGAGGCCTAAAATACCCTGTGATAATAAGGCAAATGGAGTTAACTGGGAGCAGGAGATATAGAGAAATGCCCAAATCAAGTTAGTACAGCACGGTAGGGTGTTTGAATCACAGCAGGAATGAAGTTGGCTCCCATAGCGACCTGGGGCTCTGTGCCTACCCTTGCAAAACTGTTACATATAAAGACCGAAATACCTCCTCCAGTTTGTAACTCTTCTTATGTTCATATTAAAAGGAATCAAAATGGTTATAATCAAATTAATCGAAATAACTATAATCTTTGTATCCACAGTAATCCGAGCAAAGGTGGTAGGAAAGAAGTTGCTGAAGGATGGACCATTTGGGACAATGCGCTACACTGTCAAACAGATGAAAGTAAGACTCAGGATTACTTCAAAAGCTAAATGAAGACTTACTATTGTATAATATGGCTTATTTCAAGGAAACATTCTAGCTGCAGATATACAATATTAGAAAAAGTTATGGATGTAAAACCAAAAATGTGTATGTAACTAAAATTACACATTCTATCAGAACTCTTGTGTAAAAATAAAACATTTTTAATACAGTATTAATATAGGATTCCATCCTCTTGATAAAATGTTACTGGCTGTGAAGCTACCAATATAAAGTGCCACTCACCCTCAAACCCACATAAGAGAAATGTGGTGAACACTTGTTATTGGTAAAAAAATATTACATGACAAAAGCATAGAAAGCATACCTTTAATAAAAGCTACAGTACTCCCGTTGACAGACTGCTGTCCCACTTCACATTTCATTGACTCTGAGGGGGATTCGTGAACCTAGTGTTGTTACCAATCGGAGAGGTTGAAGAACAAATAGTACAAAACCAATGTCAAGTTCCTTATCTGAAATTGTCTACATAAGAGATGATGATGAAGTGGAGATCTGAAGAGTAACCCTGCTAAAAGCAAAAGGCTTATAGTTTTCAAGAAGAACAGTGACATACTGTACACAGAATAAAATGCCAACAGTGGGTGTTTAGCTGTAAATACGTGTTTACTTTATCCTTTTATGTTCTGTTTCCACTCCCCAGCAAAGACTTACTAGCCAGTAAATGTTAAAAAATTTAAAAGAAAGATCATCCGACATAATCCATTTCTTGCTCCTTCATACCTCTGTTCAGTAGGACACCCTTATTTGGAAAATGTAAGCCTCCTTCTTTCATCTGCTCTGCTTCTGCCTTAACAATGGCATCAGGTTTTCCTCATGCCATCACAGAATTTAGCTGAAATCTCAGTCCAGCGGCCTCATATTCCTTGCATGAGACTTTTCAGATTATATCCTGTTAGCGTTCTGTCTAAATTGTAAACACAAAACCGGTTCAAAACTGTATAGTCTCTTCAGAATAACATAGCTTTTACAGTACATCATTAACATAACGGTTTACATCCATCCATCCATTTTCTAACCACATCATCCAATTCAGGGTCACAGGGAACTATTTACATCACATACAATATGTGAAAATATACAGAAAAAATCTGTATATGGTTTGCATATTACTTGTGCTTTTAAACACCCTGTACCTTCTTTTGTTAATTATTTTACGTTTTACACTCACTGCTGTGTTTTAAAACTTGTTTATTTCAGATGTACAAAGGGTTTAATAAAGTGCAGCATGTTCAGTATATCTACACAGATGCTTCAGAGAGTTTATGTGGAGTTAAGTTTGACGTCAACAAGTACCAGTATCTGATAACTGGTGAGTCTCTTTTAAATGACTTATTAAGTTAAAGTATAAACAATTTTTTCTTTTTTGTGTCATGATTTTTCTAAACTTTCTCTTAACTTGCGTAACTGGGTGGAGTGGTGGTTCTGTGGCTAAGGATCTGTGCTTGTGGTTGGAAGGTTACCGGTTCAAATCCCACAGCTGGCAGAGGATTCCTAGTCCGTTGGAGCAAAAGCTGTATCATACTGTATATACACATTCATGTATAATACTATAAACATAAATCACAATACCATCATAGTTACAAACTATTAGTGCCCATGAGGCACCTGTATAGCAATACTAAAGGCTTCTTTGACAACCTTTGCTGAATATTTTTCTAATCTTAGCAATTCTCTATTATACAGGAAATGATTCTACTGTATATCATTGACATGAACATATTTTGAATGTTACAGCTCTCAAGATAGCTTCAGTTGTATCTGTCTTATTTTACTAATACAGAAACTAAAAGAAAAAAAAAACAAACCTTCTAAAACAACATGTTGTTAATGAAAAGGGTATATTACTTTATTAATGTACAATAAATCACAAAGTTAGCATCTTCTCCAAAATCTTAGTATGATGTTTGCACACCTCAGCCTAGTTTTGCTCCTTAAGCAAGAAACTTCTCTAGTTGCTTTAGACTTCTTCTGAGCTTATGTAAATAAAAGTCTTTTTTTAACTCAGATACCACACGTTCTCTTTGAGTTTGTTCTTCATGGGCTGTTTTATTGAGAAATTTGTTACAGTTTTCTTGAGTGCAAAGCTTTTTCTTTGCCTTTCTAGTTTACATGCTTGCTGGAAAGTCATCCATATATTATCCAGAGCTATGTTTAGAGTGGAACAGTGCACCTGTTACAGGGTTACTCTGCCGCCTCATGTAATAAGCCATGAGTGCCTCATTTCTATAAATAGAACTGAATGACCTTTGGAAAGCCTGAAATAAGGTGTTAGTTTTATAGGCAGTTACAAGACTGGTACACGTACAGTACAATACTACAGAAAACCCGACCCTTGCACAGCTCAGTAATTATTTATATAGCAACTATCTCAGAAAAGGTCTGTTTGTTGTAGAATGGTTAATCTGCATAAAAAGTAGAGTGAAGACTAGAACAATGTAATGTCTTGTTTACATTTAGGCATTTCTTTGTATATAATTTTCTATAACACATACAGTAACTTAAATATTTATGTACTGTATACACAACTACCAATAAGTGTTCTTCATTGAATATCAGTAAATAAACCAGTATAACATGTATTCCATTTTCTTTGAAAAGTTAAGTTCATTTGAAAACTGTTGACTGCACCTGTGTTTGTAAGATGTTTCCATGTAAAAATGTGGTAATGTTCATCTTCAAAAAGAAAGAATCTAAATTTAAGTGACTGTAAAAAATGTTTAACTTGTATTGATCTGTCTATCCACCTCTTCTGAATGTATGCTTGGACCTCTCATGCAGGCAGAGTTTTTGATGGCAAGGTGTATACAGGACTGTGCAACTTCAATGAGAAGTGGGAAAGACTGACACTGTCCCAGAAGAAGGGGATCAACCATCGTTACCAGCTGGGCTGTAACTGCAGGGTGAGTTGGCCATGGTGTACCACCAACAACCCGCAACAACCATCACTCCGTGAGGACACCAGGCAAACACATGCTGTGGTCGAGCAAATTATCAAACTCGTCACAGCTGAGTGAGCTTCACCCTTTTGGAAACTGAGAGGAAAGGCTGCAAATGTCATAAGAGGAAAATATATCTGTTTTTGCAGTGAACAAGAGAAGGAGGCTCTGAAAGGTCTTCTATAAAAGAAACTAAGGTGTTAGGTTCTGCCTCTAGAAGATATGCTTTAATTTCATCTTTAAACTCTAAGGGTAAAATTAGAAATTAAAAATGGAGAATAGTTTTGGGTTCCACTGTGGCATATGTAGCTATTAGCGTTGCTGCCTCACAGCTCTAAATCCTGGGTCTGATTATGGACTGGAACACCTTGTGCATGATGACTGTATGTTTTCTTCAGGTGCTTTAGTACCCTCCCACATCTCAGAGATGTGCTGGCTGGGTTCCTTGGTATTCCTACATTTTCCTATAAGGTCTGGCATCCTGTTCATTGTTCAGTACCGCCTCACGCCCTATGTCACCAGGACAGGTTTCACCTTGTTGCGACCCGTAAAAGGAACAAGAACCATTTTGATAAAGGATGAACTGACAAATACCTTTTGATAAGTTTCTAAATTAGATTCATGCGCTCTTAAGAACCATCTACATGTAAAATTGTGACACAGTATAAAGAGAGAAAATCGATATCATAATGATGGAGGTTATAAGTCTGACAGTAGATTCTAATGATTCTTTTTCTTCTTATTTCAACCTAATGTTCTATCCCTTCATGTGTAACGTGTTCCTGTAGACACTAACCAGCTACCATAAATATTTCAGTTTGCAATGCAGCTGCAAACATCTGTGCAGTCCATTGGCTATATCATAAAAATAAGTACATGACCCTAGCAGAATACATTTAGCATGTCTGTGCCTTGGAATTGTAGCTGACTAAATTATATTGAACTGCCCATCTCGGAGCAAGATTAAGACTCTCTGTCCGGGTTAAAATAGCAACATAATTGTGAGTTGGGACTAAACAGCAGATAACAATTACAAATCACAAAATGGAACACAAGAGGCTTTTTGCTGCATTCAAAGATTAGCATCTGAAAATGTTCAGATTTCAGCACCTCTGCTTCTGTTACGCTCCAGTCAAACCACAGCAATAGTCTTTTTTGTTTTCCATTAAGAAACAAATTCCTTTCCCGCAGACGTTTCCAGAACAGGCTGTACAATAAACATGTATAAAGCGGTTTTACAATACTCTATTGTCTGCAGCCTTGTGCAATCTGTAATATTAAGCAAACTGTTTGAAAGCTGTACTTTCAAACAGAAATAGTTCAGATTCACCTCTCTACTATTTCACATTTAAAGGGGGCTATGGATGAATAAACTAAACTGTTAGCTCAAGCTAGTTTACAATTGGTTATTTTTTATAAATATTGTTTTGCTTTTTGTGAATGTCACTATGAATTGCTAGGTGCTTTACAAAAATGTGAAATTTTCAAACCAAAATTGGTCACAGTAGAAAAGGTGCCTCCTCCATTACTAAAAGATATGGAATACATGTAGAAATAAATTTGACATTTTTCAGTTGCCATCTTGACAATCATAGATGTAAGACAAATTATCTTCAGGTATGTTCGATTTTCATGAAGTCACTAGGAGCAGGACAAGGACTGAAAGCCCTGGGTTAAAGTGTTTTCTTTCTCTTGTCACACTAACTGATTGACTAATCACTGAGCCTTGCATGCTACAAGGCTCTTCTTAAATGTACTGTAGCATGCCTTACATAGAAGGTAATTGTAAGCCTTTTGTCTTGTTAGCATACACACAAAGAAAATATGCATCATATTGTTTAGCAAATTGTTTGTCAAAAATGTATTCATGCCTTATTTTTGAATTCACAGAGCTATCATAATTGATTTAACACTTTGAGTGTCAAGATATCTCAAAGAAGTTTACAATGGAGGTCACAAATGTATAGCACATCAAAAGAATATGTTGGGAAATAAGAATCAATTTAAAGCTTGATTTCTGATTTTTTTAAATCTATATGTTTTTTAAAACAAAACTATACTAGAAATTTCTCTCCTTTGTGTTCTTGAATGTTATTGGGTAGATACAGGTATTATGATTTTCATGTAAATGCATTGCTTCAGCATTACTCAATGCTATGACTGCTACGTTAGAGACTGAATGCTTCCTTTGTTTATTCTACTGTATTATTGTTGCTTGACGCTTTATCTAAAGTATGCTTGTGTGTTTATAGATTAAGCCCTGCCACTACCTGCCCTGCTTTGTGACTTCAAAGAACGAATGCTTATGGACGGACATGCTTTCTTACTATGGATACCCTGGATACCAGTCCAGACACTATGCCTGTATCCAGCAAAAAGAGGGTTACTGCAGTTGGTACCGAGGAATGTCATCCCGTGACAAAACCATCATCAATGCCACTGATCCCTGAGCTGCTACTCACCCACAAATAGAGCTTGATAGGACTCTAAAACTCTTAATCCAACGTGACGACCATGCCATGACAAATTAGTGCCTGTTTCCTTGCAGTGCTAGCACTTCAAAAACATAAAGACTATGCTGTACATTTTGTTTATCAGATTTTATATTTTCTCCAGTCCATAACCTTTTTCTAAATTTTGTTTTGCTTGTTTTTTAAATTAAAATTTATCTTTGATTCTGAATATTCCTTAAATTCCCAGTCATACAGGGCCATATTATAAAGAATAAGGATGATGACAACATACTAAATCATTTGCTAGCATGCTAAGTCTTCATGAATTATGGACCCTTCTTCTTTGAAAGAATGCTATGATAGGTGATAATCTAGTTAATTTATCCTTCCTTCCCTTTAAAAACTGGTTAGGAAGGGAAGTAATGACAAAGGTTCAAAAGTGGGTCTCAGCTTAGAGCTCAATGATAATGCTTCATTTTCATTTTTAAGTCTTCTCCTACAGTATGTACTTCCATCTCAGTTGATGACTCTAGGATATTTTGAGATTTATGCTTTTGGTTCTTATCACAAATTCCTGTCAGAGTACTTATATTTAAGAAAGGACTTTGAATGTTATTTGCTGATTCTGTAGAGTATATATAAATTTTAACGGTATCATATTTATTATAATTTGCTTTTCCTATGCTCTTAAAATTAGTTTTATGTTTTAAAAAGAAAATAAGCTGATAACACATACAGTACAGTATGCTTTTAAAGGAAAAAATAATGTTAAACAAACTGTTTCTTAATCTATTCTCCCTTTTAATTTTTTATGAGATTATATACCGTTCCCATTATTCCTATATTGGATATTAAACAGTTCTCCACAAAATATTCAATTATATCATATTTTAAACCTGTTCTACAGAAATTTTTATTATCTTTTTGAATCTCTATATATACTATACATGAAATAAGTATATCTGGGCATGAAAAGGTGACCATCTCATTAATATAACATTTTTTCATTTAAGGTCAACAAGACGATACATTTTTAGACAACAGTCATTTCAATGGGAAACAAAATTACTGTAAGGATAAACTCACGAAACTACAAGAACTTCCATCAGCTAGTGATTTTCATTAAAACTGTTTAATCAGTACTAGTTCACATCTCTATTCTGTTTCTTGAATGAAGAAATTAAAGTAAGTTTATCTAAAGGTTAAATAAGCTTTGTTTTAAAAAAGAATATTATCACACATGAAATGTAAATCCTGCACTGATTTGTATTTCTGCTAATTATAAATGGTACTTCTTTAAAGCTTGTTCATGCCTTGGGTACTAAAATGATAGGACACTCTGGCTCTCAAGTTGAGATTTCTGGAGAAATGATTCAGCATATACACAAATTTTCTTATTTGCTTACAATATATGCTTTGACAAAATGGTTCAGAATAATATATTTTCACTAAACATTTATATTTGTTTGTTGTTGTTTTGAGAGGTCTCCAATAATATCTTCAATTCATTCCTCTGTAGAAGTGAAGTTGTCACACCACTGAGGGAAGATAGGCAATGAGAGATTTTACCTTAAAAGGACTAGATAGATTAAAAAAAACATTTCAAGAATTGTAAATTAATTTTCTGTACTGCTTTTACTTACATCGAGAAAGGAAAGATCCATAATTCTTAATTAGCCTTTGACATGAGTCATTTGCCTTTATAAAGCTGTCCTTCAGACCGTTTCTTTCCATATCAGATAAGTTCTTATGATAAAAATCAAGACAAAACTGAAAAGCTAGTGCTATCAGAGATACAGTATCACACCTCTGACAACAGCATCCTGCTCTCTCCACACCCAACACTGAGATTTGGTAGGAGTTATAATGTCGAACGGCAATACCTCAGTCTTTTCCTGGAAACAATGCTAAAATAGTGAAGCTGATTTACAAAGCAACTTTTTACTATGTTTTTAAACATAACCCCCTCTTGCCTTCTTAGGGTACAGTACAGAAACTGTCTATGGATCACAACCTTGGTGAATCTCTTATGGTACCAGTTGCTTTGCCACTCAAAGTTAAAGTAATGTTAACTTTAACAGAGTTAACTTTAACTCTGTTAAAGTAATGCTGACTTTTGCTTTAAGACCCAGTTGTTGTGACAACTTTCTTTCAGTATTTTAGTTCATGTATACATCTGTAGTTCATGTGTAAATACACTATCTTCTTAACATAAAAACTGCCTATGTCACACTGATTCCACATGAGTTGAAATATAATAGATGACACAAAACTGTACTTACAGATGCTTTCTAAATTGGGAGTATTTGAGAGAATATGTAAACACTGATTTGTGGGGCAGCCATTTCCTGTAGGGGTTACAGAAATGTTTGTTGACTTTTAATCTTTGTGTTTTATATTTTTGTAATAAAGATGTAATGAAAAACAATCTGAAGACTTTTCAACATGTTTGATAAAAGGCATTATTTTAATTCATTGATTATAATAAAACCAATACACTTTAGTTTGCCCATGGGTTACAGTTGGTCCCAAATAGCCATTATTAAAAATGATAAAGATCTTACACAATTTACACATCTTCCAAATATTATACAGCTGGTAAAGGTTGTCAGATGTTAGATTAAAAACTGATATTCATATTCTTGTAATAACACCTTTGAAGCAAAAAGGACTGGAATTTAGTGATCACCAATCAAGAGTAAACAAAAGGTTTCTTAAATCCTGAGGAATGTCCCTGTTGGTTGTTGTTAAACGAACCCTTTCTGTGATTAAATGAAGTTGCTTTTTACCCCAGGTCTACAAAAGGATATCACAGGTAGTTGCCATGTGCTCATTATTTGAAATATTTGAAAGTGAAGTTTTATTCTGTTAATGAAACTATTTGTACATTGTAATAACACACTGTTATTCCAGATCTCATTACAAATCAACATGCAGGAATTTGTTTAAAATTAAAGATTATTTTTTTATATATACAAATACAGTCTCCTAACAATATTCAAAAGTGCACAAGTTATAGACAGTGCCATGATACATCAATATACTGCAGTCTAAAGGAATGACTCATTTTGAAATTTAACTACTGGCCTTAGTTTTTAAAAAGTTATCTGTGCCCATAGACTTGTTTTATCATCAAGATTTATATAGCTACTTTTTGCCAAATGAATGAGGCCTGCAGGAATACGATATTTAAGAATAATGTTCATGGTTCCCCAGAATATGCAGTCTTTTATTCCACAAGTCACCAATGTAGGCAGAAGCCAACAATACCCATGGGTTCTCAAAGAAACTCAGTCTCAGTGCAAAATTAACACAAAATGCATTCAGCCAGCACAATGACCCTCATTTCCTGAACTGCTTTTTTGAAAACCTTAGAAACTCCAAAAGCAAAGCAAATCAGGGCCCAAGAGAGGGAAAAATAAAATATTGATCTTCCCAGTCTGTCTACATAACACTCACCGCAAACACCTTCACGTTCTGTAACTTTCTTACATTTCTTTTAATCTAGAATTTGCTTTCAAGTCGAATGAATATGCTGTGTATATAATAAACTGAAGCTTTACTCAATCTCTGAAGAAACTTTACAGACATCACTGGTTAATAGTTTAGACATCACTCATTGAAGCCTTGACTTTGTCTGATTCCACATTGGATGACAATTAAAAGGATATATTTTAACGAATGCATTTGCTTTTCAAAAAAGAGCAAATAAAATTGGCTTGGACCATACCAGCAAAAAACAATTTAGATTACATAATGCCATGCTTGATAAGTTGTGTTAATGAGAGATGTCCTAGAAAACACTAGTTAAGTCTGAGCATTAGGATTTCCATCCTCCACTGATCTCACACTGGCACCAGATCACTGGATCAGTAAAGAGAGCCATACCACAGAAGCTATATTTATGTTTTTATATATTTTCTGTATTATAGTGATGCATTTTATCTGAAATAATAAAAAGCAAATTAAAAACATTAAATCTAATGCAAACATTTAAAAAGTGCTCAGAAAATGAAAAAAAAAGGAAAAGAGGAGCTCAGTACCAATGTAGTTTCCTGATTTTGTGGAACACTGTAGTTAGAGAAGTGGACTATTAAAAGAAAATGGTGCAAATATTTTATTGTTATCATTAGTTAGCAAATCATTTAAATAGAAAACAAAATGTCAGAACTTAACAATATATATATATTTATATAAAAAACAATATTTGGGGAAAAAAATGCTTGCAGTATGAAACTACATCAACATTCAAGCTGCAAATGAATTAGCACAAGTTGATTTCATGTTCACACGTGAAGAAAGATTCATAGCCAAAATGTTTTTTACTCCCTCATTCTACTTTTCATCATGGAATTAATCTCTATTTGTTCCTTTACATTGAAATAAAGCCAACGAGTGAAGTACTGTCTTTGAAACTTGCTTAACCCCCTGATAATGTAAGAGAGTGTGTATCTGCATGTGTACAGTATGTGAGGTATTAATATCTTCAGATAGCTGATAGTGCTGTTTAAATATTATGAATTCACCATACACCACGAAACAATATAGCTGAATACTTAAAAAATGCTCCAGTCTTTAGGACCAATACCTTTTTGACACCTTTCTGTGTTCCATACGGTTTTCATTGAATGTAATTTTATCCGCAATGCTATTACCCACTCCAGCATGTAGAACACCCTGCAATGTTATATCTGTCTATATAACAAAATAAACTGTATTTTTTTAAATAAAATGTGTATTTTAAAATTGAGGTGCTGAAAAGAGTGTTTTCGAACATAACATATAGGATGAATTTAAATGGTAAAAGGATTTTAAAAAAAGCCTGTTGAAACCTAGGACTGTGGGATGTGAGTGTAGAGTGTGATTAGTTACTATAAATTAAAAATGAATTACTATTCATATAATTGTATTGTGAACAACGTGCACCTTGGACAAAGGAAATGCAGTCCAAATGGGACACCAGAGGGCACTAACAACTACTATCGCCTAAAGGGTGCAAAGTGCATTTGCAGGGCATGAGATATTGCAGACACAGTTAAATAAGTACCTTCTAGAACGGTACAGCATGTGCTGTCATTGTCCACAGTAGGGTTCTCAGCAGTCCTATTACAGTGTACAAAATCATGTTCTATACCCCCCCACCCCCATTTATCAATACATGGAAGTGTATGCAAAAGATGGAATAGGTATAGAAAAAAGATAATACTGCTAGAATAATAAGGTACACTATGACACACATTAAATGTACTATTAAGAAAAGCTAAAAGCTAAATAAGTCTCACTCTAAAAGAAAACATTAAAGGAATTGCTGGAAAACAGTGTTAAATGTACAGTAGATAAAAAGAAAACAACAAACCAACAAAATGGAGATTTGTTTTCTCTTAACTATAATCATTCAAATTTCTCCAGCTGCTCTAAGCCCATTAAAAATAGCTGATATACAACTCAAAATTGAACAAAAGACGTAAACAACTCAAAATTAGTCTCTTACCAAGCACTCTGAAAACCATTATGAGGGGATATGAGGAGCTCTTACCATTTCTTTATGATTGGGATAGAACGTTTGCTCATTCAATGGGAATTTCTCTGGACCCAATGTGTGGAATATTTTTATCATCTGGGAAAACTGAAAAGGCAAAATAAATTATTTGAATAGAAGAGGTCCGTGAACATCATATTTAAAACGTTTGTCACTGAACATACAGTAATTGATGGTAGGTAAAGTAATGTCAACTATCAAAGCTTTTTGCTTTCGAGAAGAATTTGCCCTTCATTTTCAGGGTTTTTTTTTTCCTGGACTTTCCTGGACTTTTATAGGTTTGAATTTCTGCAGGCAGATGTGTAAAGGAAAAAAAAAACAGTTTTTAACTGGAACAGAATTTTGGAAGAATACTGCATGGTTCTCAAAATATGACACAGATTTTGTTAAGTATATTTATGATATATGATTTCTGATGTACTGTATACAGTATATAGCACTAAGTGGTGTAGTTATATTAAAGATTTACAAATAAGCTTTGTAAAGTTGTAGTACAACATTCCTTCTACAGGTGCACCTAAGTTAAAACTGATATCAATCACAACAACACAAACTAAATCTAATTTTGCTCACAACTAGGTACAGACTGCTTATACTTTAACATTCTTTTGTGAACATTAGGTACAATTTTAAGAGAACTAAGCTCTAATATGACTTTATTTCTCATTCTGAGTAGGCATTATTACAATTCCCTCAATTGTAAAGAAAAATTGAAATGAACCTCCTTCAGGCTGAAAATTACAGTATGTTCTAGCTTTGGAGGCAACTTACCACCCAGGGTTTACTACAGAAGTTGTAGATGGACATGAGTGAGTTCAAGCCTGGGGCACAGCCATACTGAAGACCAATCACCAGGCTGCGGAAGTCTTCTCCCTGAGTCATGCTATAGGCATGCTGACGAATCAGAACGAAGTCTGGTTTGAAGGACCTGTTGCCGGCAGAAATCCACAAAACAAAAGACAAACTAAATAAAAATTTCCCTTAGACCGGCAGCGTGAATATTCCAGAAATTCTTATAAGTTAAAAAGCATAAGGTAATGTTCCAAAACTGCAGGAACATAACCTTGCAAGTTCGATTGCTATGAGAATACAGATGATTACATTGTTGATACTATAGTAATTTAAAGGAACAAATAAAACAATTCACATAGCAAACTGCATGATGTGATAAATCAAGGGTCAACAACAGGTCTTCCGTGTTAGTAACAAGAGCAAGCGAGATTCTTCAAGCCTTTGGGCATGGGAAGGAAGTAGCTAGTGATTGTTAAGAAAAGTACTGTCACAAAAGGGAATTGTCCTGTTTCTAAAATAGGAAAGGAAGGGTGTGTGAGATAGAAATGGGAGACAGTTGACAAATAACTAAGTCTGCAAACAAAAAGAATATTATTATCTCAATGCTGAAAAAATGCCAGAGCAGCTCCACTGTCTGTGGGAGAGTTGAACAAGAGGAGAAAAAAAAATTAAGGTGTAGGAGAAGGGGTAGCAGAGCGGACATAATTTAGATGATGACTTAAAATCTTACAGTCTAGGTATGGTGTGTTTGGTTCATATTCTAATATGTTATACTACAGTAAAGGGGGCATTTGCCCTTCTTTCATAATTTTAGTTAAGATCATTAACTTGTCTTTAATAAAAACAGCAAGCATTTCATAAGCTTTTGCTTTCCCAATAGTTAAAAGGAAGAGTAGCTGCTTACTGTATACGGGGGTGATCTAAGGGGGTTATTTAATTTTAGATTCATTAGGAGAATGCCAGCTGTTTTGTGCATTTTACTGCTATAGCCATGCTGTCGTTAATGTCATTACGTATGTATGATCTGATTGTAATTTGAACAAAAGCCTCTTTTCTTTTTCCTTTGAATGAAAATTACATAAGTAATTACATAAGCTATATATGTACTGTATAAAAGTTTGGAGGCAAAAAAATAAGGAGCAAAAGGACTGGGAATAGGGGACTGATTGCTGATTTTTCTTCACCCATGACCTGTACTTAAGTAAAAACCCTTGTAGCCTTGAGCAAATAATAATCTCCTCTGTAAGAACATCTAGGGGTTTAATGATAAATTGTCTCTCCAGTGTAATGATAGCCCAACAAGACAACCTTTTCTTAGCTAAGCAGCGCAGCTGGAGAAGGGCATTGTGCACTGCACAATAAACAAACTTCTCAAAATGCAAAACATTGTATGTTGCTGTCCTGAAAAAAAAAACGTTTCCATTTTTAAACAATATACATGCTTCAGAAATCTTCTGAATGATACAACATACACAAACTTTTTATATGTCCTGTTTTCCCATATAATTTCTAATAAGGTTTTTTCTTCCTTGATCCTCTTTGACTTACTATTCAAGCAGCTGTAGCTTTTCAAGGCATATAAATGATATCTGTCAGCACATTAACACATTACATCTCAGCAGACTGTTTTTTAAAAAAAGAGTAATTATTTGGGGGCAAAGAGAGAAAAAAGGGCCTTGTTCAAGAACAAATCTTTTGGATGATCTATTTAATGAAAGCAGCTTAATCCTGCTCATTACAAAGCATTCTGGGAAAATGGCCAAGTGAGGCACAGAATTAACCCATGGGGGATTATGTTAGTGTTGCTTCAGAGCTGCCACTGATTTACAAATCTAGTTCAGTCCAAAATGGGTTATGTATAGAAAGTTTATTTTAGTGAAAAATAGAAAACGTTTTCTCACTGAGATTGAAAGGTTTAGATGTTCCGGACTTTTATTTTTAGTTTTAATTTTGTAACAAAAACTACTTATACTGACCCTAGATCTAGTTCAAGATTTTTTTTCCAGATGTATGTCTTCAAGCATTGAAAACTGTAACCTGAGGTAAATCTTCAGTTAATCTCTTAGTCATTATGTTATAAATATATCTGTTATTTTAGCTGGGATTTTACATTTGAAATCCCTTGAAGACAATAAATGGATGTAGTTAAACTTGCTTACACAAACTGAAGGGCTATAATTAATTTTTAAACATATTAGGTTGCTGTCCCAATTCATTTACAACAGACATACACTGCATGTATACTTCCTATACAGCATGCAAGAAGGGCTATGTCAAAGACAGAATTTTAGCTAAATTTGAGAGTACATATGGATAATGCCTATTGTGATTATACCTGTTAGAAAACAAGGCAGTTATGGTTATCTAAAAATTGGAGATGTGCCATATATTGCTTAAGTAGGTAGGCACATGTGATTCCATGCAAATGCCTAAAAATATTTGCCAGTTATGTAATATGGCAAAGAAGTAAACAAGTGAAAACAGACAGGGTCAGCATGGCTTAGGACACAAATACACTGCAAACAATTCTACAATCCTAAAACAAAAACAGGCATTGTGCTATTTTCTTTGGTAAAAGCAAGAGAACAACTTTACAAGAAATGTTTTTCATCTATTGCTTGCAATATCCTGTTGTTATTACAAAAAAAAAATACAGCACACATCACTGTACATCTGGCAACTTTTACAGTCTGTCTCCCTTTATTGCAATTCTTGGATTTGTTTTCCTTTGTTTTACTTATTTTACATTTTTCTGTGCACAAATCGTATGCTGAACTTGGAGGATAGACATTAGTTTTGTTTTATGAGCTACTGTATATTCCCTAAACCTCGATCATATTTGTTTGTCAGTAAGTACTGTCGCATAAAATATACTAGTTAGTTACACTAACCAGATAACATCAGCATATAGTTTTTGAGTCCCCTTAAAACACTGTGGTACTTCAAAAGTGGCAAAAACATTAAAACATAAAGACAGTTGACTACAGACCATGATACATCTTAGATCAATGTTATGACCCCAAGTGTCTAGGGGTAAAGGGGTGTAACATTTAGGATAGTTTTTGGATGCAGGTGGGTTCTGGTGAGGGACTCAGGAAGCGTGACAACAAGGGTTGGTGCAAAAGTGATTATTTTAAGGTGAATAAGTGACTGGTACGAAATAGGACACAATAACACTCAGTGAAAAGGAACTAGAGTGGTGCCAACGAAAAGAAAACAACAAACAAAATGGAACTGGCTAAGAAAGTGAGGGAAGCTGACCTAACTACAAAACAAAAACCTGAAACACACGGTCTTCAAACAACCTAGCTAACATTCACTGACTACCCAAAACCAAACAAGACCAACGGCACTCATCCGCTAAACTAGTGTGACTAATACAAAAATCAACTACATGTGCAAAATGTACCCAACAACCTAAACTAACTCTATACACAAAAGTTCACACAAATACACAAGTGAACTACGAATACCAAAGGGAAAACGAGAGTGGACACAAGTAACAGGGTACAAAAGAACACAGAGGTTGATACAATACGCCGGAGCAAGGTAATGGCTAAACAAGGATAAACACAAACAAACAAAAGCACAAAGAGATGACCACAAACCAACAAAAGCCGAAGCTATACGAAAACACACACGAACGAAGCCAAACCAAAAACCAAGAGCGAAACAAAACCGAAGCTAAGCCAAGTGGGACCGAAGTCAAGCAAAAGACCCTTTCCTTCTGAAAACCTCCAACTAATGTACTGAATAATCTGCGTTCTGATTGACCGAGAGTTAATTGAAGATGATGTCACACAGAAACAATGATGTAATGATGGACCAATGGTGGAGGGAGAACAATCAAGGTAAGGATGTGTGGAACATCACAACAAAACACACATGGACAACACACTGGGACATAACAATCCAAAATAATTATTTTTTAACAAATGTATTTGTTTGGAATGAAACTTATTTTTTGGTATTGATTGGTATTGACGCTACTCAAGATACTCAAAAGCTGGGAGCAGAGTAGAGTTAAACAATTTACAGCAGTTAGACTTAGGCTTATAGACACATTAGAGTAACTTGTCTTGAATAATAGAATTGAACCTTATTCTTACCTAGCAGTGGTCAATATAACCTCACAGGGAATACTGTTCAGAGGAAGGTTTGCTTTATTAAGAGTGTAATAGTTTTATTTGCAAATACTGGCCCTAGTCTTTTGGAGGTTTGTAGAGACTCAAAGAATGCAGAAAGCAGAATATTGCAAACATTAACTCAAGAAACAACAGTTTTGGAAATATATGAAATAACATAAGGGTCAAATGAAATATGTCAATTTAGAATATTAAATACCGACTTCAAACAAAACGTATTGGGTACCTTATCCTAATCGTATTTTACAAATAAGGCTGGTTTACCTTTGCTGAACGACAATTTCCCCTCTGCGGTCAAATCTCAATAATACTTCACCAACAGTAACCCGAGGAGCACATAATCTCTTAAGTAAATTAAGGGAACCAAAAACCTGTCACTTGTGGGGAAAAAGGTAAGTGTACGATCTGTTTCTTTAATCTCTTACCTCAATCTGTAGCCCTCAATTTTTATATATACACAACTTGCAATCTAGAGAAAATGATTCATTGATCCATGTCTGGATTTGATTTTCAGGTTTCATCTGTCTTGTCATTAGATTTTCTCTTATCATATGCCAGTTTAAGCTTTCTAAAGCTGTCTAAATAGTTTATGTCTACAAGAGGAAAAATGTATACCAGAATCATAACTAAATTAGTTTTCTTTATATCTATCTATCATGATTCTGTGTTATTTTACTTACGTTACATTAATTTATATCTGAAAAACAAGTGAAAGATTGTGATAATGTAAATACCATTTAACACTGTGATCAGGACATGCAAATACTATATGTTAGCGTAGTACAGTATATGGAAGACAGGGATGTGAGTTCAGGATTAAAGGAGTTCAAAAGCAAAAAGGGCAAACATACATCAAATAAAGCCCATGATAAAAAACATATACTGTACATTAACAGTAAAGGAACAAGTAATAGGTTTATGTTGAACACAACGTTTCGGCTGTGGAGCCTTCTTTGGATTCGGAAGTCATCATATTAATGTTCATGTTCATTTCATCTATAAAGTCTCTGACCCATCATCTGAAAATCTTTAGCCATGATACTTGCAATAGTGCATTGTTGCCCACAAGGTAACTATTATAGATTTACAAGAAAGATATGAACATTAGCAATAGTAAAGAGTAGTGATGAATTACACTACTAGTTTAAGGCTCATTAAAGTTGTTACAGCATTCTCATGTCTCTGCCAGACCACACTTCTGCCATTTGTTGAAGAACTGGCAACAATTAGGAAAGGGGCAATGACAAAAAATATTTTTCCTGAAAAATGAAAGACAGGCTTTAGCATCAGATCACACAAATCAAGAAGTTATCTTTTTAAAATTATTAAGAAACTGACAGATGTCCTGAACAAACAAATGCATCATACTGGCTAAGATCCATCCATTCATTTTTAACCACTTTAGCCAGTACAGGATCGCAGAGGAATTAGAGCCTATCCCAGCAAGGCGGGATACACCTTGGATGGTACACCAGTCCATCAAAGGGCTACATATAGACACAAACACAGTCACTCCAGGAAAAATGTTCTAAACAGCTTTTGAAAATAATTTTGTTTTGCATAGAACTAATTTTCCTTACATTTGCTTCCCTGTCCAATAGAAAGAGGATGTCTAACATGCATTTCAAATGTAATGGCATGAGAAGAGGTTAATCGGTAGCTGAAATGAAGAATGAAAGAAGACGTTAAGGCTGTGGAATACAGGCTGTGGAATACAGCCTTAGAAAAGTTAATTGTGCTTCTCAGCATGGAATTAACCTCTATTTGTTCCTACTGTAAACTGATGCAGCTTCACTGTCCTCTACAGTCATTTTTGATTGTTTGACTTTTAGGTTAAACAGAAAACAAACATATTAAACCAAATGTCATACCAACAATAACCCAGTACAAAACACAATCCAAAATAATGGAAGGTCTTACCTGACTACTTTGGTGCCATTCCTTATGAGTTGCATATCAATCATACAGCCTCCATTTACATATGCTGCAAGGTTAATCTCTGAAAACTCTGCCTGTATAAAAACATAATGATAATGTCATGTTAAAAATAACATATAGTGATTTTCTTGTTCAATAGTACGCATCAAAACTGATCAAAAACAAATTAATGATACAATGACAGCAAACAATCAATATACCTGAAATATATATAATTATCTTAATGACCTTATTGAAAACAACTCACTTATTGAATTAAAAAAGCCATATCACCCTGCAACTCACAATTGGCAACCCACTGAAACTAGGCAGGTGTGAGCCCAAGGTTGTAGCCGGAAGAATTGTTAGTGGGGCCAGCAGGGGTCACTCACCCTGCGGTCCATGTGGGTCCTAATGCCCCAGTATAATGATGGGGACACTACACTGTAAAAAGGTGATGTCCTTCAGATGAGACTTAAAACCAATGTCCTGACTCTCTGTGGTCATTAAAAATCCAAGGGCATTTCTCGAAAAGAGTAGGGATATAACCCCGTTGTCAAATTTCCCATTGGCTCTTACCAATCATGGCCTCCTAATAATCCCCATCTATGAATTGGCTTCATTACTCTGTTCTCCTCCCCACTGATAGCTGGTGTGTGGTTAGCGTTCTGGCGCACTATGGCTGCTGTCGCTTCATCAAGGTAGATGCTGCACATTGGTGGTGGTGGAGGGGTGTCTCCATTACCTGTAAAGTGCTTTGAGTGGAGTGTCCAGAAAAGCACTATATAAGTGTAAGCAATTATTATTATTATTATTATTATTATTATAATTAAAAAATATGTCCATTAAAATTGACAAATGATTGACAGATACTCTCAGAATTATGCTACGATTCTTATGGAGGAGACATCATATTAATAACTTTAAAAAATAAAATTCACATTAAGGTGATAGAATTATTTATGAATCATGTATTTGATTACAGATTGATATGGAATATATATTAATAAATATCCATCCATTTTCTAACCACTTCATTCAATTTAGGGTCACGTGACGGGCCTGTCCCAGCAAGCAACGTTGCAAGGCATAATACCCCTGGACAGGACGCCAGCCCATCACAGGGCACAAACACAAGCACACAAATGCACACAGTCACAGCATGGACATTTTTGTCTAAAAGTATGTCTTTGCGAAGAAACCAGAGCACCCGATAGCAACTCACACAGACACAGGGAGAACAAACTCTAAGCAGATAGCACCTCAGGTCCAAAATTGAACCCAAGACCCCAGCACTACAAGGCATAATTTTCAAAAGATCGCCTGGTACCTCTAAATTACACCCAGGTCTTGTACAATCTGAATATCCTATGGTTCTCCCTTAATTCAGTTACAAGTCAAGCAATTTCTAACTTTTCTACCTGATCTGCTGTGTAGTAGGACTACTGGCAAATAATGTCTACTGCACATCGGTATAATAAAATATTTCATGAGCTTTAAAAGGTATGTCTAAATGCTGCAAGGACAAAGTGACAGAATATAATATTACTAACAAACAGAAATTGGCACTTTGGCCTTTAAGAGATTATCAAATCCTATTATCACATTGATTTTACAATGGGATATTGCTGATTCTTATATACATAATATATATATGAATCATATTTATGTATTTTATATATATTATACATATATATTTTATATATATATACTGTATATGATTATATATCATATAGCTCACACCTGAAAAAGGCTACATGGCCGAAACGTTCTGTTTTCTATCTTCTTTTTTCAGCATGGAATAAACCTATTACTTGTTCATATATAAAATAATATTTATATACTGGAATTTAACACATTCATTGAGATAGTATTTCAGACTGGCCTCACTTTAAAAGTGTTTCTCCTTATTAACTTTTGTTATGCTTCCACTTATGGTTGTGCTTAGTAATGTATTCAACTAAATTAGAAATACATTAATTGAATTGACCTTGCTTATTCTATTCAAAATCATTAAAAATCTTGTGACAGGATGTAGACATGCTGCCTAATGCCTAAATTAAACTGAAAGTACTGATGATTAGTGTCTGGAAAGACTAATAAGGTAATGGACTGAAATAAACATTCAGTGTCTTGTTTGGGAGGTTGGTAATGAAGTCGGCCGCTTGAAAACAGCCCTAAAAATTGTGCATTCCCCTCACTCATTGTTTATTTTGATTGCACTTCATATATGGAACAAAAGCTTTTTATTTGTATTGGACTTGTACCTCATTAAAATCTCCACCCTGAGCCAATAGTCTCACCTACAGACTCCCACTGGATCTGACTTCTCATTTGAGGACAATTTCTATTTCTGGAGATTTTCTTGCAGATGTTCCCCCTATCATCTGCAAAACTGACAAAATAAACAAACTATACCAGAATCTGGATCATTGATATAAAATAGGAAGAACATTTTTCCTAGAACAGGCCCCTAATTACTTCATTCCAATCTGAGTATCACTTGTGTCCTCTGGTTCCTGTTTGTTCTGAAGGAGTCCACTGCATTAAGTTGGAGGTTTTGACTTGTTTCAATACTTGCATCAGGTATGATCATAGTCTTTTCTGTTTAAGACTAAAAAGGTTGAATATGTTTTGCCCTCATTAAACCTATAAGCACTGACCAGACCACAGTCTGATTTGTCATAAATAATTAATTGCATTCAAGAAAAAAATGAGGCTCAAACACTCACAACTCCAAGTGCTCTTTTAAATAAAGAATAAGCATTTATGCTTTCTGGAACCCTTCCTAAGATAGGACAAATCAATAATTCCACTACATACTGTACTGTGGTATTTAGGCTAAAAACCTGGTCCCCTCTGCCAAGAAGCTCAGGCCTGTCTGAAACTTGACATTCCAGCATTAAAATGACCCAAAACATACAGTACATATCCAAAATGTCAAAAATTGGGTTATTCCATGCAAAATACATGTTCTTGACTGATCACTTTATTCTCCAGGCATTAATGCAATTGATACTATGAATACTTATGATTTAAACTCCATGTGGTAGTTCACAAATAGAAACCAAAGGTTCTAAAGGACTGTACAATTCTGCCTGTAAGAAGGGTTGAGAAATCCCCCCAGACAAGTCAGAATCTCATATCACAATTCAGGAGGCTTATGTTAAAATAGTCCATAGCAGAGCTGGACTTACCGTACCAAATAATACCATCTTCACAGGGTGGGAAAAAATCAGATCCTCTGGACTTATTTATCACAAATATGCCAAATTCTATTAAAATTTCAGTATCAAATTTATTTAACATCAATTATTTTAACATCACCAAGGGTAATTGGTCAGGGTTCTTTCCACAAGTGTATAATTATAGGCCCTTACGGGTTTGCAGCGCTGTCAGTGAGGGACACACCTCTGCTCCAATCAGTGTTGAACCCCTGGTATGGAGCTGTGTTACTGTGTGTAGAAAAATGGTTGGCTTGAAGGTAGGTGGGTCAGAGGATTCTACCTATACTTCCTCATTGTTCTCTTCCTTTGGTGTTTATATCTATAAGCAGATTGATGACAAACACACGCTTGGAAATTCCAAAATTGTCTATAAAAAAATCCAGATCCCGTCCAGTCAAGTACAGTACGGGGGAAATCAAGGAACACAATGAGAAAGAAAGCACAGTCAGAACATCGGTCTTAAATACTGGAAGGAATATACGGCTCCTCATCATCATAGGGGACAATGCAAATTCTTTCATATCAATGTGTTTCAATGAGTCTGTACATTAGAGCATCCTTATTTACAAGGATATTGATAGTTTAATTTGCTGAATGCATATTAAAAATAATAATTATCATCAAATTTCAGATTTAATATGGTATATTATTGTATATTTCTGGAAAATTGCTTAAATACGTCTTGTATAAATCTGTTTAAGTAGATTATGTTGTGTTTCCTCTAAGTGTCCTTTCTGAAATATTAAAATGAAACTCATGTAGAAATTGAATTAAGGAGTGTCAATACAGATTCTCTCTGGGACAATCTGTAAAGACAGACACCCAATATGACAATGACCCAAGAAAGGTGCTGCCAATACAAATGAGTGCAGCAAAAGAAAATTTAAATCATTATACTATGAAGCTTTTTAAAGCAAAACATTCCATCATAAGAGATGGAAACCTTGAACTTTTATTAAAACTTAAAATATAGAACATTTTGTGGTGGGGGCAGCTGTAGCCTCATTTAGAGTTCAGCAGCACGCCTCTAAGATTTAAATCCTCTGCTGCTTGCTATTGAGCTTGCCTTGTTTCAAGGACACATCTTTGGACCAGTTTTCCAAGGATTCTCCACAGATACAAAACTGTGAAAGAAACATCTGTGTCTTCGGTAATACTGCCTGCCAAAACTAGCTTGGGAGCACAGATGTAGAATCTGTGGCAAACATCCTACATAACAAAATCCCGCTCCAGGCACACAAAGCAGATTGCTGTGCCTAGATGAACCACAAGCCTTTCATGGAATGAAACCCCAAACAATTATTTGTTCATCTCTTTGACAGTATTGGCTTAATCCTTGCTGCAGATATTGGGATGAGCTGTTGGTCTTAAAGGTATACAGAACTTGTCTGTTTCAGACTACCATGGTTACCATTATGATAATGTATTCTGCTCTTTGGACTAATTCCTACCCTGGGAAAGAAAAACAGGAAGCATTCCGTAGAAAAAAAACTTCTGTTAATTTAGCTTTTACCCCAAGTGAAATCTACACACATAGATTTTAATTGAGGGTACGAGAAGATATCTTTTTTTCAGTCTTCAATGGAAGTGGAAATCTGCAATAGTCCAGTATCTTCAGTATCATTTTCTAATGTTTAAATATTTAAATTAATTATTAATAACAAAAGGTTATGCATTTTACAAAACCCTTTACCTTCTGACTATAATAATTAAACATCTAAGAAGGTTTCTATAACAGTGTATCCATCAATCATACGGGGTTATGGACAATTAAGGAACAAGGACATTTGCCACTTGGTAGAGCTTCAGCTTATGTGTACAAATTAATTAATATAAATGCATATTGGCTCCTGTATGTACAGACATGG